AGATCAAAACAGAGCCCAAGGTTCAAAGCAGAAATCTCCTATGAGAAGACCGGTAAGAACAATCCACAGGCAGAATTGAAGATAACCCAGGTTCAAGCACAAATGGAGTCTTACTGACCAGGTCTCAAAAACCAGAAATAGACACTTTTTCCAACAGTGTTCCCGCTCCAAAATAGGAGTATCATTCACAATCTCCCAAACGTGATGCCTTCCATTTCTTCCATTGGCAGGTGGCTCAGATTCATCTTTGGAGAATAATTCTCACATTATGGTACTGTGGACTTTCCATGTGACAAGAGCCACTGTTCCTCAGTCATGTGCTGTGTTGTGTGATGGAATGAGAAGGATTTTAAGTTTTGGCTGTACATTATTATGTTGAAGGACACATTTCAGTTTCCAAAGATCAGAGTAACCACTCAATAGTTGCTAACAAATCCAAGGTGTTGACTGTATTATATTGCTACTGTGCTAGTACATCTCACTGCTTTCCTTGTTACAGCAATCAATAAATTAACAAACACCTGCTTATTTTCTGCACTTAATGCGACTCACTTATCATATGTCAAAGTTGTAAATTGGAACAGCTTTATGCAATGTTAATTCTCTAAATTTCCGTGTTTCTCTGCGTCAATATGCACAGATCACAAGGCCAGCTAGTGTGATATGCTCAAATAATTGGGTGAAATCATGCCTCTGATTGACTGCTGTCCATAAAATAAAGCTAGTTTCGGTTTATTGATCTGTCCTACTTCACAAAGTCAGGCTGCAAAGTCAAGCTTCACTATAATGACCACATGAACAAATTGTTAGTTGCTGCCATTTCATTCTGCTGCAGTTATAATAATCTTCAAAACTTCTATTTACATGCTTTTAATTTCGTATTCTCAGAATACTGATTTTGTATTTCAAGAGAAAAGAGGGAAACAGGATGTTTTATGCTGGTGGAGGGCACACCTGATGAAGCCCTCAAAAACTCACCTGCAACATGTTAATATTTAGAGATCACACTTTAATATTTATATATCAAAATATGCATGTGTGCATATACATGATATTATCAAAGAGAGTGACACATCATTACTGAAGCTCTTAGTAATACACCTGTCAACTAAACTAGCTTCCTTTCTTGCTTTTCAAGTTTTGTTACTATTGTGGGGACTCCATAGCAGCATTCCTGAGGACTCCACCCTCACCTAATGTAGCCTGTTCTCAGGCCCTTGTGACTTACTACTGTAATCTCTACAAATAACCACTGTAAACATTATTTTGTGCTGCTGCTCTTAAGCAAGAATGCTTAAACAGATATGTTCACCTTAAATATACAGACTGGGAAGTTATCCTGAGTTTATAAACATACTTGCTGGGAAGTAAATTCAGCGAAAGACATCAGGTGCAAGTTCTAAAACAAGGCTTTGGAGATTGCAGTGAAACATTTTGTAAAGTCTTGCCAATATAGAGTTTTTAAAAAACCCAATGGCATATGAGTGTTCAGTCTAAAGAAGTTACTCCTTTTTATGAAACTATATTTAGCATTTCAGAAAACTCCTGAATTCCGTAGAATTACAAAATGGGACATTCTGACAGGCTGGATTTTCCAGGTATGCCAGCAATGGCATAGTAACAGATTACTCGCTTTCCAAAGAGGCAGATTTGGAAAGAGGCTAGCAACTGATGAAGTCATGTCTCAGAAGCAGAACAATCCAGACTTGGAAACCTTTGGCACCCTGCATTCTACGCTGTTATTTAGATTACATCAGCCAGTAAGGGAGCAGCTATTACCTGGCCAGTTCTCAGTAGCTATAACTGGGTGTTGATTAGACTTGACATGTGCTCAGAAAATACTATGGAATCTACACCCCAAAGCAATGGGGTTTTGTCAAGTTGCCAACAGCAGTTCTTCCAGCAGGGAGCAGCAGAGGAAGGTGTGATGAGAAACAGGTTTGTTCCCCCCCCCTTTCTCTCCATCCTGTTTTCCTTCTGTGTTGTGTTGTTGTTTGAAGTTATACACCCGGAAGTGGAGATTGACTTTTCGTAAATTATTCTGTCTATTATATTCGCAGAATCTTTTCAGCCTACAAGTGGAATAAAAGTGTTCCTGTCGTTCCTCACTTTGACATCTCCTCATCTCAAGCGCCATATAGATCATAAGCAAAAATCGAGAACCAAGCATGGGGCTGGACTAGATGACCTCCATTTCCAAATCTTAACGTTCCATGATTTGGTGATTCAAACAAAGTGGACAAGAATGAGCCTCAAATGAATAGTAGCTCTATCTCTGAAATTTCACAGACCATATTTGTCCAGCTGTGAAGCTTGAACCACAAAAAATATGTTCATATCTCAAATCCACACCAGGCTCCATGTTTTCAGCTGCAGGGTATATCAACATCAGCTTTTAATATATGCACTTTTAATGTTTTAACTGGTTTTAAAGTACTGAATTATTTTATACTGTTTTTATTGCTGTGCTCTGCCCTGAGATCTTGGGTTATAGGACAAAATATAAATCCCCAAATAAATAAATAAATAAATAAATAAATAAATAAATAAATAAATGTTTATAACTGATTTCTCAAGTCCCATAATGCTTTTTTAAAAAGCAGGAGATATTTAAGAATTCATATTTAAAAATTCACACTTTGGGGTTTGCATGTTAACTGAGGGAAACCAATAATTTTTTCATCCTTTATCTTTTCACATGATACCACCTTACTATTTATCTTTCAAGTTAACTATGAATTAATGCCACATGTCTACATGTATTACTTGCCTCACCTTTGCAAAATGTAATTTCATTACATGTCTTATTTTTCTTATCTTTTCCTCAGCAGCTCTATGGAAAAAGGTGGAAGGAAAGGCAAAAGAAGACGAAATAATTCCTCCACTGCGCTGGCTCGCTGCTTCTTTTTTGAATAGCGTGAACTACACACTTCCATGGTGTAGTATCTCATGCTCACGATATTTTTGGTGGGGGAAGGGTGCTCAAGAATAGTCAAATCCCTGGCTATTTTGACAGGGATGTGGAATTTCACACCATACTGACAAGAGATGGTAATGTGGAGAGAGAGAGTTGCATTCATTTCATTCTTATTCCTTGTGAACAGGAAGGTTACCAAGCCATGACTTTGTTGTGCAGGATTAGAGCAGGGAACAAGGAGTGGAGACTTTCTGGAACTAAGGACAAATATATAAATTGGTTGAGCAATAGTGTGGATCCTGCAGCTGCCCACACTTTCAGTACCTGGGTTCTTGTTTCACAGCTGGGGCACGAGAAGAGTTCAACATACATGTTTACTTTAAGGCTGGCAAATCTCGTGTCACTTGCTCTTTGAGAGAATATAGGCTCCTATGCTTGCTTTCTTACTGCTTGTCATGCAGAGCTGCCAGATGTGCCTTCTGCTAAGGAAATGACACTTTATTTGAACAGATTTCCACTTTGATGGCAAAATAGGATGTCTCCTTCCGGAACTGCACCATCAACAAAAGCAGAAAGAAAACGGAGTTGGCAATTGGGTGACATCTATTAAACGTCCAGCACTAAAAGGGTAGGGTGGTGAGTTTTGTTGTGTGACTGGATATGAGTTTGCAGGCATGGATTAGAGCTGAGGAAAATACTTTTCCTCTGCTTAGAAAAGGTGCATGTGGCAGCACATACATGGACAGAACTATGTGTGTGAACACCTATAGAAATATTAATTTGTAAATATGGAGCCAGTCGCAAAAGCATCTAATTTATACAGAGGATGCTGGTAGCCTGTGCAATCTCAGAGGCATGTCCTTAGAGTACAGTAATTATGCCTAGGACAGGCCTGTTAATACTACATTTTTTGAGACATGAAGAAAGTTAACATATCTCTCCCAGGAAAAGATATATCTTACTGAGTTTTAAAGACAGGATGCCTTTTGCTTAGGGTCTCCTTTTAATGCCTTTAGACGTTAGAGGCATTAAATTAGACGTTAACGAAGCTGAGGAAATACGTGCAGCACACAAAGCAAAAGGTATCCAAGGGCTTAAAGCTGGCGTTTTATAGGCACTCACGTAGGGAAACTCATGGCTTACTCCCAAGTAAACCGGCACCGGGTGAAAAGGCGGACTACAGGACAAAGTCTTACACCAGTCAAACCTCAGGCAAAAAAACCTGGGTGCAGTCAGAGACGGTGAATTTGACTGCTTATAAAGACTGCAAAGCGATCTTACTATGACTTAACATTTCCCTCCCTCCCTCCTGGCGGGCGCTGATTTCGCTTTTACATCACCTTCCCAGGTGGTGTAAAAAAGAACCGCATCCACGCCGCCTGGCCACACCCCTCCCACGCCCCGCCCCCCGTATAAATACAAAACAGCGCCCACCCGGATCGGGAGGGGCGTGGCTAAGGGAGGAGGCGGGGCTTCGGAGCGGCCAAAGCGTCGGGGAGGAGCCGAAAGGGAGGTCGGCGAACCAGACAGGTTAAGGGGAAGCCACTGAGGAGAAAGCGGGTGGGCGGAGGTTGGTGGGTCTGCCACGGCCGGGCGCCGGAGGGAGGCAGAGAGACGCCGGAAGGCTGGTCCTGCGGGGAATTTGCTGGGCACTCGGCGAAGGGAAGCGCGGCGGCGGCGGCGGTGGAGGAGGACGACGAGAGGACACGCCTGTCTGCGCCTTCTCCCGTCTTTGAGGGGAGCGGTTCCCGCAGCAGCAGCAGCAGCCGGGCGAGGGGACGAGCCAGCTGCGGCCGCTGCCTCGGCCAGGGGAAGAGGAAGCAGGGAAGGTAACTGAGGGCTGGCAGCCGGGCGAGAGGGAGGGCTTGGCAAGCCGCCCGCCTGCTCCCAGCGCGGGTTGGAAGGGGACGCCGGGGAAGGGGGCCGCGGCGTGCCTTATGTTGGCCAGGCGACCAGAAAGAAGCCAGCCCCCCCTTCCCTACGCCCTTGGGGGGGGGCTCTCTCGGTCGGGAGCTGGAAGACGCGGCTGCTGCAGCTGCTCCTCCTGCTCCTCCTCCTCCTCCTGCCTGGCGCTGGCGGGTAGTGGCAGGCGAGGCTCCGGCAATCTCAGTAGACATTATTTGTTGTATGTCAAGTTGTGCAAAAGATGTCTACAGAGATTTCTTCTCCGCGCCTGGTGGTGGTGGTGGGGTGGCATTCCGCTGATCGGGCGGCCCTGTGCCTTCTGCCCTTCGTTCGCCCCTTCTGGCCACGGATGCGTGTGAGTGCGGGTGGGGCGTGCAGGGCTTCGGGTGCGGAGCGTCTCCCACCGCGTGCGTCTCCGGTGGCCGGGATCCCCTTCGCTTCCCTTCTGTTTGCAAGCCCGGCGGGCGCTCTGCGAGGAGGGCGTTGTGCGCGTCCGGGTGAAGTCTTTTGTGTCTGGGCTTCTGGCTGGCCCGGCGCATGGCGGTGCCTTGCCCTCCGTGGGATCGCAACGCCCGGAGCCCCGATGGCAACCCGCTTCCCGTGCTTCGTGCTGGGCGGCCGGGAAGGGGGGGGAGGGAAGAGTGAAAGAGAGAGAGACTCGGACGCCCTTCACGTGTGAACGCGGTCTCGGCTGGTGCAAAAAAGGGTTCTGTTTTGTTTTGGTCCCTGCGCGTCGTCCATTCCCCCCCCCCTTCCCTTTCCGTTTCCTCGGCGGCGGCGGCACCGCGACCGGGGTGAAAACGGGGCCAGCGAGCAGAGTTTGTCGGGACTCGAAGCCGCGGGGACGCCGAAGTGTGTGTGTCTGTGTCTGTGTGCGGGTGTGTGTGTTTGAAATCTGAATCCTGCGAACTGGGGCGAAAGAAGAGGCGTGCGATGGGAGTTGCTCTTCTAACACCCGCTCCCTTTGCAGTGTGAACGAAGCGCATCGGCGAGAGCCGAGGGAAAGCGAAGCGGAGTTGTGGCGGCGGCGGCGGTGGCTGTTCCTGTTGCTGTCTAGGCGCGCTCGCTTGTCTTTCGACAGCCGGGCCGCTGTGTGCGTGTCCCTTCTGTACAATCTGTGTTGTGCTGGCGGCTGGTTGGCGGGCGGGGAGGGGGGAGAGAGAAAGGCGAGGAGGCAGTCGAGCAAGCAAGCAAGCAAGCAGGGGGATGGGGCCGGGGCGTGTGTCTTGTTCGGAGGGGTGGCGGATCGGGGAAACGGACGGGCCGCCCGGCAGCGACCGATCCTCTTCTCTCACCCACCCCTTTCTTTAAAAATGCCTGTAAGTGGAAAGGCTTGAGTCTTGGGAGCGGGAGGAAAGTGAGGAGAGAGGGCTGGTAGGAAAGAGGCTTGTTGTGTCCTGCCAGGGCCTCTCTCTCGTCTCTCTCTCTCTTTTGGATCAGCTGAAATGTGAAGCCCAGCCGTGCTTGTCTGGGGAGACTTGTGTCCTGCCAGGGCGCTCTCTCTCTCTCGCTCTCTCTCTCTTGGATCAGCTGAAACGTGAAGCCCAGCCGTGCTTGTCTGGGGAGACAAAGCCGAGGACAAATGAATAGACCCGTTGCTGCGCCGATCTGGCCAACGGGAGTCGAGCAGATGACAGAAACAGCATGCTGCACAACAACAATGCGAGGGGAGTGGGGTGGGGTGGGGGGGAGCAGCGGAGGACGATCGGGTTCAAACGTGGCTCGGAAGGCTCCCTGTCTATCCCCGGTGCTCAAAAGCCGGGGAACAAAGAGGGCGGGGAAAGCTGCCAGGGAAGTCCTGCCAGACATAATAGGAAGCGCATAGAAGAGGAGGTGGGGATGCCCGAGTAGGAAGGAGGTGGGGGGGCAGAAAGGTTCTGGGGGGCACATCTGTGTTTGGCAGATCTCCTGTGGTTTCAAGGTCAGCTGATGACTTGAATAGTTTGTGAGGTTATTGTAGTAAAACTGTTGTGGCTGCATTTTCCTCTCCCCCTTAGGACACGGGACAAGCAGCAACATTTAGGATGCAATGTTGGTGAAGTGAGTTGGTTTTCAGGTTGGCTGCAGCTGTAGGCTCTGCAAGCGAGCAGCTTTGGTTGGTTCTCATTTCAGATGACATCCCCTTGAATTTGGAAGCTAACCAGTGTTTATGCTTGTTTCTTTTTCAGGGCAGAAATGGGAGTGTTGTGACATTGGAATGTCTGGCAAGAATCGGTGTGAGACACGGTCCCAAAGAGGTTGTACGCTGAATGTCATCTGTGAAAGACCCCTATTCCCACCTTACTGTGGTTATCCGGACACCATATTTTTTAGAGTTTCTTAGGACTGTATCGGTTTGGGCAGACTTCTGCTAACTACATTTTGATAAATAAGGCAGATTTTTTTTATGTTTGCCAGAGAATCAGCTACCACTGAAAGGGGGAACAAACACTTTTTGTTTTGTTTTCAGAAATTGCCTCTTTGAGGGGTATAAAACCCCCATATTTTGGAAGAACTGGAATTTGGGGAGGCAAGTACATGCGGGAACTTTGCCTGGATGTTAGCACATCTGGGTTTTCGGAGGACCATGCAACTCCATAAGCTGCAGACGAATGGCACTGTGCGACCTTTTAAGCCATATGAGAAGTATTACTGAGCCCTGGTATCAAACATAGCTTTATCTCTTAAATCGGATGAACAGCATTATTTTATGTGCTAATCAAGATCACATTGGGATGGAAGGATGCTGCTTGTGGGACAGGCAATGCCACTGAGCAGCATGAGAAGGGATGAAGGATTTGTGGGTTTGCTTTGTACTCTGTGACAAAAAGTCCCACGCAGCAGCACGTACATCAGCTTGGGTTGAAGAATTTGTTGTCTTAAATGAAACGGAAGATATTTTCCTGTTTCTGACTTGTCCTGGAGAAAAGACCCAGTAAAATGGCTCAGACCAGCTTGCTGCAAGGGAAGCAGTTTTACTGTCGAGAGTGGGTTTTTCATAAGCTCCAGCACTGCCTCCAGGAGAAGACAAGCTGCAGCAACAGTAGTGCGAACAAACCCTCTGTTGTGCTGAATTCTGGGACAAATCCATGTGTCATCCCTGGCAAAGGGGCTGCCTGGGGTGTGTTGCTAGTGGGAGGGCCTGGCAGTGGCAAGACAGCCCTCTGTACCGAACTGCTGTGGCCAAGCTCGCCTGCTGGTCTGCAAAGGGGTTTACATCACCAGGCGTTGGCCTTTCACTTCTGCAGAGCTCAGGACTCGGACACGCTCTGCGTGGGAGGGTTCATTAGAGGGTTAGTAGCTCAGATCTGTCGCAGTGGACTCATCCAGGGATACGAGGACAAACTGAGAGATCCAGCGGTTCAGAGTTTCTTGCAGCCTGGAGAATGTGAGAGGAATCCCACCGAAGCATTTAAAAGGTAACAAAACCATACCCTAAAGACTTCCTGTCTCTTGATCAAATAGAATACAGCCTCCATAAGCTGGTAAAACTCAGGTCTTGTGCGTGTGTGTGTGTGTGTGTGATACTGTGTGTCTGCATAAAATGGTCCAGTAGTTTGTATGGGAGAGGAAGGTCAAAAACTAGCAGCAAATGTTGCCAGACAGAATGCGCTGAAGCATTTGCCAGGCTGGCATCTTTCAGTCACTCTGCATCTTCTGTTTGAAAACAGAAGCATGGGAAGTGAAGGACTTATGAGAGCAGGGTACCTCTTTGGCAGTCTTGACAGGTGGCCTGTATTGTATGACAAAAGTTCTATTCAGATTTCTTCTCCAAAAGTTTTCCTGCTTCCAGCTGCTTTTTTGTTTTGTTTTGGTTTTTTGGAAACAGAAAATTCTTTAGTCTTGACAGGTGGCCTGTATTGTATGACAGAAGTTCTATTCAGATTTCTTCTCCAAAGGTTTTCCTGCTTCCAGCTGTTTTTTGTTTTGTTTTGGTCTTTTGGAAACAGAAAATTCTTTCCAAAGAATAGAAAGACACTAAATCGCAGTTGCTCGTCAAGACCTTCCCTTTAGTTGAATCTGGTTGATGTGATGCTATTATTTTAAGCTATAATTTGAAGATTGTTGTGACTACGAAAATAGCCTTTATGCATGATAGGCAACACCATACGGGGTCTCTATAAAGATGTGGAGCTCTCAGCTATCTGTCTGCTTTTGTTCACTTGATATATGATGATTGGGCTAGAATTTGAGTTTTTACAGGGACTTCCCTCCCTCACCCACTGCAAAGATTATCCTATACCAAAGTGCTGTATTCCTTGAGAAATGTGGAAATGGAAGAATTTATAGTTTGAAATAGAGATGAAGCAGTGCTGAGGGGGCAGGGAGGTGTCAGTGGGGTACATACTGGTTGTGAACTTTGCAGGTTTTCCTGACTGGATGAGGAAAGGTAGCACAGTTTAATATAGAAATAAGCACAATGTTCATGTTTAGGGATTATTTTCTTGAAAGTGTACTGTCAGTGGGATATTTTTATAAATTCTGCTAAGGAAGGGAGGGCTGTTTCATCAACCTACTTTCCAGAAATTCTAAAAATCTGGAAACAACTGTCTCATTAGGGTAGGTGGTTGTATAGATAGTGACATAAAGATATATACTTAAGATAATATACTTAATTACATTTTCCCCCTTTTTGGAGGTGTATTGGTTACAGGACAGAGTACAGTTGTTGGTCCTTTATTATAAAAGAAAGCCACTGAATGTATGCATTTTGTCAACTCAGTTCTTATGTAAGTCCAGCAGATTCAGTGGATCCATGTTAGTTTAGACAAAGAACTAGATTTAGCTTGCAATTTCTCAAGAACTTTTTGATGACTGAAATAATCCTGTTGTGCAGGTCTGCCTGTACAGTGTCAGTGATGTCATCACCAATGGCAAATCACAACTGCTGAAAGGCTTCCTTTGAGGATTTTGAAGGGTGTATGACTCTGTTACTATGTATATGAGTCACATGCATCCCAAAATTGCCAAAGGAACCTTTAATCAGCAGCGGTTTCCTGCTGCTGCTGCTGTCATCATTTCCATTGCATTGGTGGAGCTGCTCAACAGGATTTCAGCCATCAGTGGGTGAATACAGGTGATAAGGTAGCAACCTGCTTGAAATTTGGATTGTTTGGTAATCTCTGTGTCTGGTAAGTCCTGTAAGAAGGAGAACTTCTTTTTCTTACATTTGATCAGAAATCCAGTAAAGGTAAAATTCTGCCTATTGCTTGTGTTATTCCTGATACTGAGTTTTATACAAGAAGGTTGGAGGTACTCTTGAGTTGCTTTGTAAAAAATGTTATCTGTATTCTTTCAGTAGGATTCATGTGGCTAATGCAGACTTCCTTAGTTACTTGAGCAGCCAAAAACTGTCTAAAGGTGCTTTGATGTTTTCAACATTTAAATGAATGTAATGTTCATCTATTACTAATCATGGATTTTAGTCTTCTGTTGTTGTTTGCTGTGTTGCATGGATGGGAAAATTTGGCTTGCTAACTTCTGGACACCGCCCATAATGCCTTTCATTGTCTCTTAGTGGGACTGTTCAGAGACCAAAACATCTGCCACACCTGCTGTATTGGAAATATGGGTGGTGTTGAGAGGCAGTTTCTCTTAATTGCATTTTCAGGCTTATTGATTTTTATCTTAATAAAAGGTCCCATCACCCTTGACCAGTAGCCACACAATGCAGCTAATAGAAGGTTTAGCTTAAACCATATGAAGGAAACTAGATGGAAGAAGGCTGATTATTACTACACATTCTAAACAGGAACATACAAGAAAGCGCTAGTATTCTCTGATAGAAGTTCTGCACTTATTATTTGTCTTCAGTATAGAAGAGCTTGTTCAAGTGAAGATTTGGTCTGATGCGATAGAGTCATGCATAACAATGAGACAAACTGCCATCTGGCACTGGTTGCTTCTGGAAGTCCTTATCTGATTGATCACCTCATGCCTCTCAGTAGGTGATGATACAGGTTCTACCACATCCAGCAGTAGTTTTAACATACAGTCCTGGTAGCAGCATTATATTCCAGTGCTTCTCTCTCTTCACTCCCAAGATGCCATTGGCCTCTAACTTCCAGAAGCTCTACCAACATGATAGGGAAAGGCTAGGATCTGTAGTTCAACAACATGGGGGGACACCCACGTTTAGAATTGCTGCCTTATGCATGTCACAGAACAACGGAGCTGGAAGAGGCCTTTAAGACCATTGAGTATAAACTCCAGCCTGATACAGAAATCCAAATCGGTATATCTGACAGATGGTTGTCTAATTTGCTCTTGAATGTGTCCAGTGCTGGAGCTCTCGGTGCCTCTCAGTGGATTAATGTCAGTTTTACTGGGACTGGATGGATAAGGTTTCCCACCTGTGATCATTCATCTGTATAGAATGGGACGCATATTTAAGAGGTTCGCTGTTGCTGGATGAAAACATAGCCAAGTCACTGGAAGTTGCATCACACAAATAGGTGAAGCTGCCTATGTAACGTGCCCTGTGCTTCATTTAGTAGCTAACTCTGAAAATTGTCTTGTTTATCTTTTGTCTGTGGTTCAAAACCCTTCAATGTGATGCTCTTCTGATGTTTGGATCCCAGCAGCCCTGGTTTATAAGCCAGTGGTCAGGAATGATTAGGTGAGTCTGAAATATCTGGAGGGCACCAAGTTGGCGGAAAATGATGTAATCTCTTTTATAGATATTAAATAGCTCTTGGTCCCCCTTGCTGTCTCCTGCTCCTTTCTGTGTGATTGCCTCAGTTGCTTAGAAATACTTCCCACCCTTTAGTGGCTAAGTTATTTTCTCCTGAAGATTAGTGGCATCTGCAGGCCCTTTTCCAAACCACTGCATTATTCTCTTATTGCTTCTCAGTAGTCTTATTAGGATGATGCTACTTCTCTGCAGCTTCTGGCACAGTGCTTTATAACGCAATGCATATAGAATGCTTGAATAACAGCAGCCTGTTCTTTACTTAGTTATTCAAGTTGTATTAGATTGTTATTGGGCCAGTGTATATGGGCACGAGACCTCTGTTGCTTTTGTCCCAGAATTTGCCAGAAATTCCCAAGGCAGAATCCTGGGAGCTGCAACCCAAAAGCAGTAATTTAAAGAGCATGCAGTAGTCATCACAGGGCCCTTTTAAGAAGAAGGAAACTGCTCCCAGTGGTGTCTGGGAGTGGTGAAAGGGTTTTCATGGGAGTTTAAAGGGAGTATGGCTCTTTGGGGGGCTCCCTCTATAGAGCCTAGTAGGCAGTGAGACTACCTGTCCCTTGAGACTCCCATGAACTCTTGTCACTGCCAGCCACCACTCTCCTCCCCCCTGAAATGCTAATGTAATGGTAGTGCAGACCTATAAGGAGGTGTAAAAAACTCCTTTTTCAGTTACTGTTTTGGAGCTGCAGCTCCCACAATTCTGCCTACAGTATTCCTGATCCTTTCTGTAAGATGTCATCCAAAATAAGTCCCATGCCTAATGTCAGCTTTTTTTTAAATGCAGCTTTTGTTTGGATACTTATATTTTCCCAGCCTAAAAGAATCATTGGATTTTCTTACTTTGTTTGTGTATTAAAGATGCAGATTTGCATTACGGCTGTTCAGTGGAAGAGTAATGTGGCTGCAATTTGCAGAAGGCAATGCCTAATGTGTGTATGTTTGCTGCATTTACATCTCTAGTGCAGTGGTCCCCAACCTTTTCCCTACTGCGGACCAGTTTGGGGGGCATGGTGCGCCTGCACGCAGGCGCACATCACACTCAGGGGGTGCTCATGCACATGCGCACAATGCTCAAGCTCAATTTTATTAGTTGCTAAAAAAATTGTAACAGCGAATGACATTAGTAAAACTTTTGGAATTTTAATGGTTATTCCTTAACAGTGAAATAATAATAGTTCTGTACCATATTTATACTTGTATACTGTTGAGTGATGTTTGCAGGTAACAGTATTTTCACATTCCTGTAAACAAAGCTGCACCTTGAAAGGCTGGTTATTCTTGCAGCATTTGTAAAGATTTTCCCAAGATGGAAAAAGGGCACAAATTAGAAATAGAGATTTGGATCTTACATCTCAGTGAACAAAACCTTTGCACAGACTTGTTAGAAACCTGAAACGTGGGTGCTTTAATGTCTAAATAATATTCTCTAAAACATAGAACTGGGCAGTCTTAAGGTAATATTGGGAACGTATTAAGGAGGCAGTACATATCTAGCACCTTCATGGAGATGAATGTTTAAGTGTATACTACCAGTACTTTGAATAGTGTCATCTTTTGCTAGCTGGCTTCCAGAAATGTGGAAAGAGAGGATTTGATAAGATTAGGAGCTTTTCTGATAAGACAAGTTAGGACTCAGTTACAACTGACTACATTTATTTGGAACAAAAATGTCTCAACAGTTTCAGTGAATCTCCCCAATACACTGGTGGCATTTCTTACTTTTTT